GGGAGAGATTGCACATGCTGCTGGTATGAAGCAGTTTTCTTTCTCTCAAAGCTTACTCAAACAAACCAACAAAATAAAGACATAAAGATTGCCCATAACATGCACAATTATAGGCACTTCGTCGTTGTTGTTGTTGTTTTCGTATTATCACATTTCCTCTTACGGCTAGTGAGAAGAAATAGAAATGAAAAATGGCAAAGCGAACGTCTCACAAGTTCGTCTGAGCGTGGGTGCTCCTGTGTGTTACTTAAACTCATTTTACATGAACTTCTCCTTTTGTTAAAATCTGAAAAATTGTACACACTTAATCTAGAGAGTCAAACGCGTCGTTTTTGAAAAAATGAATAAATTCGGTTAAATTGTTTTCAAGTTATTAGATCTATCTTTCTTTGAATTTTTGTTCCTTGACTTTTTTGTGTGAGTTTACTTCTTTCTACGGCAGTGCAGGTAGCTGCTTTTCTTCATTTGTTTGTTGTCGTTGTTTTAATTATTATCTTGTTTGTTCGTTCGTTTTTCTTTGGGACACCCCCCACATCTTTGGGCACCCTGTACTCACTTCAAGTCCACAGCATTTTAATTGAAGTGGGTTAAAAGTGTACATCCGTGTGTGTGTGTGTGTGTGTGGCAGAAATTGGGGAGGGCGGGGGCATGGATCATACCCAGACATCATCATCATCATCAAGTGCCAGATCTGTGTAAGACATCGGCGAATATGGTTCTCCATTCATTCCTTTGCTCGGTTGCTCTCAAAAAGCCACGTTTCACTGATCTTTCCCTGTTACCCATTGATTTAGGTTCCCTAAGTATGTTGTTCTAGGCCTCCCCCTGCCTCGTTTGCCATCAATTTTGCCAGTGAGAGCTAGATGTTCAAGACCCTTATGTCTATTCAGGTGTCCCAAAACTGCATTTGTCGTTTTCTGATTGTTTTTAACACTGAGCGTCCCACGTGGGCTTCATCAAGCACTACCTCATATTTTGATTTCTTTTCCTTCCACGATACTCTTAGCAGTCTCCTAAGAAACCACATATCTGTTGCTTCTATCTTATTTCCACTGTCTTTAGTGATTGTCCAGCATTCACATACCTCTGAGATATTCCTGTCCTCCCATTCGCTCAAAATGGCGCTCCTGAAGGTCTGCTCACACGGCAGATCAGTCTTGAACTGGGTACATCCTATAGGTACGTCAGACTTCCAGGGAAAACCATGCTTGAGGTCATCGTTGGTCCACGCGTCGTACACAGACAAGAAGTTTCCTGCTTGTGCTCTGTAATATACAACGTAGTTGTCATGGTTACTATGTCTATGCGGATTTAACGATTCAATAAAGGTCAGTTAGTGCTGGGTTGTAAAAAGGACCTACAAAAAAGGGTTGCAGAGAGTACTTGGAACGGTCGAAACTACCTGAGACACATCTCTGATTGCCGACATTTTGTCTATCACTTCATCTATAATTCTAGAATATTATTTGTGTGTGTGTGTGTGTGTGTGTGTGTGTGTGTGT